CTCTCCCTTAGCCTACTGTAAGGCTATTATTTTAACTTTAGTTCTCAAGCAATATTGAAACGTTCTGTGACAGGAGTAAATAAAGAATAAGCAACAGGTCTTTCTCCTCATTGCTTTCAGAGAACAACCTGTCTCAATCTCTGGGACATACTTTTTCTGAGAAAACTGCCTTTACTTTCACCTTCACTCCCATGAAGGTACTTTGCTCTCAGCCTCATGCTCAAATAAGGACTTGGCCCAGGTTAGGGGAGATCATTTAAAAAAAAAAAAAAGCTGCGACAATGGCAAATTACTTGAATATTACTTAGGACTACCTTTGGTATATCTTAAGAAGCCCTGTTTTTTTTTTTAAATTTTTATTAGTTTTGTGTGAGTGTACCATCAAATCAGACCTGACTGGTACAGGAGGAGATTGTCCCTCCTTCCCCGGCAGAGCATCTGGTGGATTCGAACCGTGCGTCTCTGGGATTGTAGTTGCAGTTCCTTGCCACTAGGCCACCAGAGCTCCCCCATTATCAGGTTGTTAACCCAAAAGTTGGCAGTTTGAATCTGTCGGCAGCGCCATAGGAGAAAGATGGGCAGTCTGTGAATATGTGTAGCTTCAGAAACCCAAAAGTGGATTGCTGTGATTCAGAATCGACTCAACAGCAGATGGCTTGGTTTTTTAGTTGATACATCTTTAGGCTTCTATTTGAATGCTTCAGTTATAGTTAGGAAATTCAGAAGTCTTTAAGAGTATACATCATTCTAGAAGATAAAATTACATTCAAAACTCTTCTCCCTTCTCTAACTCCACTATCCTCCAAGCTTTCTTCATTATCCCACCCCTGGGGATAGGTATGACTTGTCAACCTGCAGTGAGTTGTGTCAATAGACAGCAAACAAGCTCATCTCAAAAAAAGAACATGTTAGTTCAAACGTTCGCTAGTTGGGCTGGAAAAGCAATTCCTTTAAAATGCCCTCTCTTCATTTCCTGCTGGGTCAGAGTAAACAAATACCTAGTCTCCGTCAGTTAGGTTCTATTAAGCAGAGCACTTACTAGGTCAGCAAGAATATCCACTGGATAATGGCATCCTCCACTAGAAGCAGTTTAGTACTACCCTAGACTGCAAGTACCTGAAGCAAAGACTTCAACAGTTTTTTTCCAGGGAGTTCAGTGTTCATTAATTCCCTCCCATGTGCTTAAACCATCCTCCATCTTAACAAATCCCCTCAAGCCAAACCTTTTAACTGAGATAAACTTTCCCTGTTGTTCAAACAACATATAAACAGCTAACCAGATTACCTGTTTGCAGTGACAGCTGGTAGACTCTTATTCTAAGTGAATTAGAGAACTCAAAAAACAAGCTAAAGGGCTGGTTTTCAAAGGGAAAACCAATATCACTAACTCTGCAAGAGGAAGAATGAATGAATGAATAAAATCCCAAGATAACCCTACAACCTAATTTTAGTTTCTGCCTCCTCTTCTCAGTAACCTTTTTTGAGAATTGGCAAGCAGGTCACAAAGGATGGAAAGTTAAGATTTCTGGTATTCCGCTTTTACTCAGTGGAGCCGCGGCAGCAGCGGCTGTGCTCTCGGTGTCCGAGTTATCCACTGCCATCCTCGTCGCTGCAGCGACCCCCGCACCCGCCGTCAACATGACTGAACAGATGACCCTTCGTGGCACCCTCAAGGGCCACATCGGCTGGGTGACTCAAATTGCGACCACACCGCAGTTCCCAGATATGATACTGTCCTATGATACTGTCCTGCCTCGCGAGATAAGACCATCATCATGTGGAAGCTGACCCGAGATGAAACCAACTATGGCATCCCTCAGCGTGCTCTGCGTGGCCACTCCCACTTTGTTAGTGATGTGGTCATCTCCTCTGATGGCCAGTTTGCCCTTTCTGGTTCTTGGGATGGAATGCTACGCCTCTGGGATCTCACAACGGGGTACTACCACACGCAGATTTGTAGGGCATACAAAGAATGTGCTGAGTGTGGCCTTCTCTTCTGACAACCGGCAAATGGTCTCAGGATCCAGAGATAAAACCATCAAGCTATGGAATACTCTGGGTGTCTGCAAGTACACTGTCCAGGATGAGAGTCACTCGGAGTGGGTGTCTTGTGTCCGCTTCTCACCCAACAGCAAGAACCCCATCATCGTCTCCTGTGGCTGGGACAAGTTGGTCAAGGTGTGGAACCTGGCTAACTGCAAGCTGAAAACCAACCACATTGGCCACACAGGCTACCTGAACACTGTGACTGTCTCTCCAGATGGAGCCCTCTGTGCTTCTGGAGGCAAAGATGGCCAGGCTATGCTGTGGGACCTCAATGAAGGCAAGCATCTCTACACTTTAGATGGTGGTGACATCATCAATGCCCTGTGCTTCAGTCCTAAACGCTACTGGCTCTGTGCTGCCACAGGTCCCAGTATCAAGATTTGGGACTTGGAGGGCAAGATCATTGTAGATGAACTGAAGCAAGAAGTTATCAGCAACAGCAGCAAAGCTGAACCACCCCAGTGCACCTCTCTGGCCTGGTCTGCTGTTTGCTGGCTACACAGACAATCTGGTGCCAGTGTGGCAAGTGACCATTGGCACTCGGTAGAAATTTATGGCACCACTTTGGAAATAAAAAGTTTGGCTTAAGAAGAAGAAAAAAAAAGATTTCTGGTATTCCTCAATCTGTTACTTTCTGGAAGAAGTAGGTAAACAATTACTTAACTAAACCAGTTAAGAAGTGAATAAATTAACCATTAAAAAAGAAAACCCTCAACACTCAAAAATTAAAAAGCTATTTATCTTTGAAGACACCCTGTTAGCATTGTGTACATGTTGCACTGCTAATCAAAACATCAGCAGTTCAAATCCAGCAGCACACTCTGAGGCAAAAGATGGACAGTCTCCTTTCATAAAGATTTACAGCCTTGGAAATCTGAAGGAGAGGAGCTATGAGTCAGAATTGACTCAACAAGAATGGGTATTTATCTTTGAGATCAAGCAGCCATAGAAAAGGATTTCTTCTTAATAGCTTCTACATAGCTGACCCACCCACCCCACACTAAGCCCTCTCTAATAAATGATGGCATGTGTTGATTACCTGAGCAGAAATCTATTATCTTTTAAACTGAGAAAAGCAGGTCTACCAAATAATCAAATCTTTTCTCTACTAGTGACAGACTTGAGACCCTATGAACACCAAATAATCCTGAGTCTTATTTTGTTCCTTATTAGCATACTACTCAAACTATTTCACTCAGGTTTTTTAAAATCTATGAGCGAAAATTAAAAGACGTATTGCCATGGGAAAGTCTGCTGTTAGGGACCTCTCCAAAGTACTGAAGAGCAATGGTGTCTCTGGAGACTAAGGAGTGTCCGATACAGGTCTTTACTATCACTTGTTATGCAGCCGAGAGTTGGACAATGACTAGGGAGGATAGAAGGAGAATTGATGCCTTTGAGCTGTGGTGCTGGAGAAGAGTATTGAGGGTACCATGGACTGCTAGGAAAACAAACAGATTTATCCTGGAGAGGGTTAAACTGGGCAGCTCCTTGGAAGCAAGGATTCTGAGGCTCCGTCTAACATACTTTGGACATGTTGTAAGGAGGGACCGGTCCTTGGAAAGGGACATTGTGCTTGGCAAGGTGAAGGGACAGCGCAAGAGGGGAAGGCCCTCTATGAGGTGGATTGATTCAGTGACTGGGGTAATCGGGATGGGTGTATTGGAGACAGTGCGATTGGCACAGGACAGAGTTTAGTGCTGTTGTACACAAGGTCGCTACGAGTCGCAAGCGACTCGACGGCACATAACAACAACAACATGAGCAAAAAGACTATTACTCAAAGAGCATATGCACTCTTCTAATAAGAGGTCTCTAACCAAGTCAAGATTTTGGAAATCTACAGGCTTGAAAGAACTAGAAGTCCTACAAGCAACATCAGTGTTTAGTATGAAACTTTTCAATCTTTCTTCAGCCATTATTAAAGAGCATGTGTTCTTTCCCTGGAACCTACCAATAAGGAGGTTCCAGATCTGAGGTGGAATGATAATTTATCAACAAATATTTATTAAGCTCAAATCTCTATGTTCACCACATTGAGTGGTAAGCAAGACAAGTATGAGTTCCGTCCTTGCAGAACAAAATATGGTGAAGACTGACATTAAACAAATAAATAATATAAAGCATAACTTAGAAAAAAGCAATGAGAGGGTGATGATCTAAGGCTTCACTTCGTCTCAACACAAAGATCTACACATGCTGCCCCAGCATTTAGCAAAACAACATACATCCCTTTACTCTCTAAACTGCCCCAGTTTGGACAATAGATATGATCACTTGCGCTATGAAGAACAAGGCATCATAAAAATAACAGGAAGATACTAGTTTAGTTTGGGTGATCAGGGAAGATCTCTTAGAAGACTTAAGCTGAGCCATATCACTCTGGGTAAAAAGAATGTTCCAAATCTAAATAGAGTCGATAGCCCAAGTTTAGGACATTATTATTACTGATAACTAAAAAATTTTTTTAAAAGTGATCTGGGGTTCTCAGAGATAAATGTGTGCATCCAAGATTGAAATACACTAAAGATCTAAATTTGTCAGAGTTCAGAATTCAAACAAAGATACAACTGAAGCTCTACAGAAGTGGTTTTCCAACTTTTATAGGTCATATGAAAAGAAATCCAGTTCCTCACCTAGGACATGCTCCTTCTTTCATGAGGTTCACAGACAACATCCCTATCCCAACTCACCGAGCTACCACCAAGTTTAAGGAAAGAGCAAAAAACCCTTTCACACATAAGCAAGTTCTCAATTATATTTAACACTGAAAGGTTTCTTAAGATATGCTGAAGATATCTAAAACTAAGAAAAAAACTGAGTCAGCTTTTTTTTTAAGTACCAAAACAAGCAAATTTAAGTCAATGACAGTGGACAAAGAATGTATCATCAAAAGCAGATAAGATTCATCCGCCCATCGGTTTGGCTAGCCAGGATTGTCCTCAAGTCCTTACCTTACTAACATTGAGTGAAGCTAGAGGAGGAGGGGTTTCTGTTCGGTCATTAATTATTTCCACTTCTGAAACATATTGTAAGTTTATGAGCAAGATGTCTGCATGGTTGGGTTTTCCACTTGAAGAAGGGCATTCTGGTAAGAAAACAAAAGTTAAGGAAAACAAGGGCAAGCAGAAGCACATGCACATCTCAAAGGGGCTTGGAAACACAATTCACACAAAGTTACTGTAAAAAGTGTGCCACTAGCAGGGAGAGGGAAAGCATCCCAAGGATCAGTATTTCTCTCAGAAATCTCTGCCTATCACCTTCCTCCTTCAACCCCACATCCAAAGGAGATTTGATCTTTTCAAACCCAAGCACCAACCAAAATCCTGAAGGCCTTCAAAAGGGCTCCTGCCATCTCCTATTTTATGAGGACTGCCTCAGTGTTTGTCCAGAACCTATGAACCATACATCATTAGAGCCATGACTGTCTGTCCTTGTCACATATTTACAATGCTCTTCCCATTTTATTTTTTTCCAGATTTGAAATTTCCCATTTTACAGGGAAGAAAACAATACTGGAAAGAAAATTCATCTAGTCTGTTACTCCATCCATCCATCCACTCATTCATTCACTCTCTCTCCAATCATTTACCAAGCACTGACAGTATGTCAATGAAAAGGAAGTAGGTTATTCATTCTAAAGACTCAGTGAATGCCTGTATAACCTCTTACTTAAAAAAAAAAAGGCAAGTGTCTTTGCTGTAATTAGCTGTTTCAGAGAACATATTCCTAAACTAGAAATCTACAAGTAGTTGGTAAAGAAATCAAAATACCTGCCATTCAAAAGGCAGCAGACACAACAGGCAACTTCACTTAGAAACATACCATAAGGTATAAAAAAATTATCCACTACTCAAAAACATACCTAAATAAGCCCACCTGTAGCTCAAATAAATGGTGGGCATTTATTGCAACCAGGAAATGTTATGTTTCCAAGACGGAATTTCCTGGAGTAACTCGGAAATTATTTCCACTCCAAAGCAGCAGACTACCTTTACCCACTGTCACTTTCAAAAAGAAGGTTATGGCTACGAAATAGTCAGAACTCCATGTGCTGAGCTGAGCAAAACAAGCTAGGTTCTATTTTCACCTGTAACCCACACATGCCTACCCAAGCCCCAGTAAAACATGGCAAGACCTCTCTGACCAGGCTGCCGATGAACATATTCCAAAGCAATTTCCAAATGGCAGAGAAGATGAAGAAGAGTCAGGAGCCACTCATCCCAACAGCACCCACACAGGCACATGAATGAGAAAAGGAAGCCCTTATCCTCAGTTCAGTTGCAAACTCTCTCTTATACTTTTCCCAAAAATTATCAAGTCCCATTTGGCCACGACCCCTCCATCCCTGCTCGGACCCAAACCCCATCTGTAGACAGTCCCCCTCCTAAACTCAGGGCCATTCCCTCGCCCTTCTAGCAGTTCCATACCCTACACACCCCCTCTCCACATGATCTTATCCGCCCCCCTTCCATCCGGGCTCCAGTTCACCAGCCCCCCTCCCACTATCACCACGAGCTCCCCGCTCACGGAGTCTCCTCGCACAGCATTCCCCCTGTAAAGCCATCCGCATGTCAAGCCCCTCTCCACCCACCGACCCTCCCTCGGGACCCGGCTCCCACAAGGGTTGGCATATAGGTTGCCCGAAGCGGACCGAGGGGGCCCGCGAAGGGGGAGGGGAGCTCAGGGCCACGCGCATGCGCCCGGGGCGCCGCGGTAGCCGGTCGCCCCTAGGCCCGGAGTGGGCCCCAGCCGCCGCCGTCGTCCCCCACCCCCCACCACGGCACATACACGCCGGCCCAGCTTCGGGCTCCACGCAGAGGAGGATACTTAAAGCCAGCATTTTGGACTGGTAGTCGAAGGCTACCACCTCGCCCTGCAGTCGCTGCTCCTGGCACGTCCGGCACGACACTTGGCTCCCAACGCTGAAGTACTCGCCCGGAGGAGCCGCCATCTTGGGAGAGCAGCCGCGGCCGGCGGCGGCGGCGGCGGCAGCAGCGGGCGAAAGCCGGGCCCCCAGTGAGCGCCGCGACGCGACGCACCGGGCGTGCTGATGTCACACGTCTGGGCGTGGCCTAGCGCTGGGTGGGGCGGGAGCTTTGATGGAACAGGAAAGAAGAGGAAATAAAGGGGAATCTGAAGAATAATGATTCTGCGGTGGCATGCTCTTTGGCAAGAGCTTGTAAGGTGTGTTAAAGATAAATGACCCACCTGGAATTACAGGGGAGAGGATCTGCAGTCTTCATTATATGCACATATTGCACACACACAACATGAATGAGCTCGCGAATGATAATATATATCTTATCCGTTTTACAAGTGAGAGAGCTGAGGCAGCTGCTAATCCAAAGGCGGTGCCTCTCTAGCGGTTCGAATCCGAAGACAGGAAGTCTCCACCGATGCAATCTGCTAAAGGGTCAGCTATGCGTTGGTTCTGACTCAACAGCAATGAGTTTTTATTTTACAAATGAGTAATCTGAGCACTTAACGAAATTCACTCATGATTGTACTTACTTGCAAAATGGTTATGGAAAGATCATTAGCTTTGTTACAATTAGGTGCCATAGGCATTGGCTATAAAGGTTGAGAATTAAGACTTGGAATCCCCAATCACATACTACTTATGTGGCCTTATGCACATTATTAATCATATACCTGCCTGTTTTCTTCATTTGCATCTGTTTTATAACACGTTGAGCATCCCTCTAGGTAGGAATTCATATCCCCATTTTACAGGTTTAAAAAAAATAATGCTTACATTTAACTTGCCCAGGGTCACACAACTAGCAACTGGGAGGACCAAGTCTGTTTCCAAAGACACTGCTGTACTATATTAATTCTTACCTGCCTCACAAAGAACACTTAAAATGTTTAAATGTGTATAATGTGTATAAATGCATAAATAACACTGAAACCAAAACCATACCCACTGCTGTAGAGTTATACACTATAGAATAGAGCAAGCAGCCTCCAATATGGTTTCTAAGGCTGTAAATGTTTATGGAAGTAGACTTCCACAGCTTTCTTCCGTAGAGCTGCTGGTGTGTTCACATCAAGCTTTCAGTTAGTACCCAAGTGATAGTTTCCCATGATAGGTCATCATCATCGGAATTCCAGATACTTCTCCACCTCCCTCCTTGCTCTCTTCCCAGCAAGGCAGGGAAAGGGCAAGAATGACAAGGGAGCCCTTGAAGAGGGCTTTTAGTTTTCAGAGACTATATATCACATAGGATGAGACTGCTCACCTTTCTCCTGAAATTGTTTATCTTCTGAAGAGCAGCTGGTGGATTCAAACTGGCTACCACTGGGTTAACAACACAATACCTTCTCACTATGCCACCAGAGCTCCCTTTAAGGTATTATGAAGATACAGATGTCATTTCAAGCCCCAGTCCTTCATCAAATGTCATTCCTAACTCACCTTCCAACACAAATCCCAGAGTCTCACTTAAAGTTGACCTTTCTCAGTGCAAAGGAGGAATTGAACCAGGCATAGCACCAGTTAATCTGAACAAAAGTCAAAACTTATCCTTGTCCAAGAGGCATTAATTTCCCAGTGTCAGTACAATCTAATAAAAATACAACTTTCTCATGCTTGTGTTTTCCAGAGAAACTTTTTATCTTTCATCTTTCTGCCACCCATGGCAAGCTATATGTTTTATCATTTCACTTTTTGGCATTGTGATGATAGGCTTCCTGAAAGAAATGAAAAATCTACATTGAGGCCTAAAGGACCACCACTGAAACAGTGACCATGGTCTGAGTAGAAGAAACTGTATGTATTAGAAACCCTGAAAGGAGCTTGACAATTTCAAGAAACATAAAATAACTCAGAAATATACTAGCAACTGGCGTGGGTCTGGTGATGACTGATACTAGAGCCACACCAAATTTTGGGAAATTGCAAGAAATTTAGTCGTTCTACTGGAACAATTGGAAAACATTTCGCAAGAAAATTGAATATATGTATTCAGAGTTATGGCCAGCCAGCCTCCTTCACCCACATTTAACTAATAAAATGAATCTTTTCCAAGAGAACCTAGATTCACATTTTTATTTTCATCTATCAGAAAATTTTCCAAGAACAAAGTTACTAGATGAAGGAACTGGTATTCAATCAACAGACCCCTCCCACTCCCACCTAGCCCTCTGGGCAGGACCTCGCCCAGTAAAGCTAAAAGTTCAAATTTTTTATGTTCCTCTAGGGAAATGTCCCAAATGATGTGTCCCTCTCCCATCCCCATACCAATGTTACTATTTCCTTACTTATCCGCCCAGTGGGATTTTAACTGGCAGGAAGCAAAATAAAACGCAGGTATGTGACTTTTTGTTGGTTGCGGGTAAAAATTTGGGAGTGGTTAGGAAGGACCCCTCCAAATCAACAGCGGATAGCTGGTGAAGGGAAGGCGTGGACAGATTATAGAGATGTATGTACCCATGTTGTGTACCACCAACCCACAGCTGACCCTACGAGTTTTCAGAGGGAGTTTAATCGCACGGGAGGAGTTTGCTCATCCTTCTCATATACCTGAATTTCATTTAGGAACCTACTTCAGCGCCGACCAGCATGCTTACTTCTGAAAGTTCTCTCTTCAAGAAATCTATTTTATTGTGTGGTCTTTTTTTTTTTGTTTTTTTTAAAAAAGAGAGTTGCAGTACTGGTGAAATGAGCCCTGGTGGCGTACTGCATAAAGTATGGAGTAAGCTGAAACCATCAGCTGCGCGGAAGCCTCGGGAAGCCGAAAAAGTGTGATTAAATGTCAGAAACGTGGGGGAGAGAAATAAGGTTTACAAGAAACCAGGCCCTGGGGATTATACACTTGCCCTTGCCTGAACCGAAAAGCACCCCGTACCTCCTCTGGGCTGCTGCCCACGTGCCGACAACAGCGTCCACGTGGGGCCCTGAGGAAACGCTTCGCAAAGGTTTGTCCCTTGCGATGCCCGGTAGTGAGACGACTCAGAAAAAGGGCGCACCAGGAACTAGTACCGGCGAGAGGTTGGGCTCGCGCGAGCCCGGGACTGCTCGGGGCGGGGCCTGGGTGCTGGCGGCCGGTAGGGGGGCGGGGCGTGCGTCTTGGAAGGGTGGGCTTGGAGGGCAGCCGGTTGACCTTTCACTTTTGCCGGGTCTTCTCGGCTTCCGCCCTAGAGAGCACAGCCCCGGCTCGGCCGATCCCCTGGTCGCCATGGAGTCGGCCCTGGGCGCAGGCATCGCAGTGGCCGAGGCGCTGCAGAACCAGATGCCGGGGCTGGAGAACGTGTGGCTCTGGGTCACCTTTCTGGGCGATCCCAAGTGTCTCTTCATGTTCTACTTCCCCGCGGCCTACTACACCTCTCGCCGCGTGGGCATCGCAGTGCTCTGGATCAGCCTCATCACTGAATGGCTCAACCTGGTCTTCAAGTGGTGAGACAGCGAAGCCCTCCGGCGGTCTGGTTCCCCATCCCTGGGGACCCTGACTCCTGTGCAAGCCCTGACCTCTCTCAGCAGGTTTCTCAAAGGCCTGAACCTCCCCGAGTGGGGAGGACCCCCCATGGCCTTAACACCTCCCACCCCTACCCTATGGCCTCGGCTTTGCCCCTTTGAGCATCTTCGTACGTCTTGGACTCAGAGCTCAGTCCTCACAGCCCGCTCCTTAAACCAGTGTTCCTGATCAGAGAAATCACTTAAGGGGTGTGTTAAAAATGCAAATATCTCACCCGACCCCCACCTCAGACCTACTGATTTAGAGAATCTCATCTGGGGAGAAGCTCGGGGAGGGAGGGGGGGTCTTTATTTTAACAGGCATCTTTGGTGACTTAAGTAGCAGAAACTCCGGCTTATACTTTTTCACGCATCTACTCATTTATTTCTTGGAAATAATTTTAAGATGCATGCTTTGTGCCAGGCATCCCATGCATGAGCTGCTGAGGATAGGAAAGGCTAATCAGAACGCGCAGCACTTGAGAGCTTGCTAGAAAGACAAGAGTCTCAGGTCATAGCCCAGGCTTGCTGAAGCCAGACTGCATGCTGATGAAATCCCCCATGACTCCAAGTGGTTTCTTAAAGTTTGAGAAGCCATGCACATTTCCTTTTTTTGCTCTTCACTCACACGGAGGCTTTTCACAGTGAACTTAGAATCCAGGAATCCTAGGTTAGTGGAGGTGTTTCGGCCCCTGGGGCTTATCTCTTTGTGCCACTTGTTCTCTCAAGGGAGTTTGTGCCTCCCTCTGGGCATGCAGCCACCACCTGCCTCACCTCAGCCTCTGTTCTCTCAAGGAAAGGGAAGTTCATAGGAGACACTTAAATGGTCTAGAATGATTTTACTTTCCCTTCCACGTTTCATCCCTACTGTAACCGGAAGAGCTGTTGTCAAATCATTTCCTTCTTGTGTAATTGCCTTTTGCTTCATGTTCTCTTCTTTGTACAAGTTTGTAGATTCTAAGTACCCTTCTCTTGTCCTATTCTCCAAAGAGTGTGGGGGAATGGGGGACTCACCTCCATCCCTTGCTGGAATTATCTAATGCACTTACATAACAAAGTAGGGGATAAGTGGGTTTTGAGCACCTGGTGTGGGAAACTAGGGTGTTTGTTTGTTTTCCCTTGGCAACCTGGTCCCTCCTGCACCTCTCTGCCGGTGCATGGCTTCCTGCTTCCATTTCTTCTACCCTTCTTCCTTCTGGTGACAGCACACTTCACTGTGTTGTCCAGAGCCTAGCCAAACAGCCAAGTGAGGGAGCACTGAACTATTTTTCTTTTCTTAAGGATTATTTTTATTTTAACTTTTTCTTGTGCGTTGAGGGAAAGTTTATAGAGCAAATTGATTTTCCATTTAACAATTTCTTTTATACACATTGCTACCTGACATTGTTTACGGTCCCCACACTGTAACTGTACTCTTCGTTTTCTCCCTGTGTGTTCCATTCCCTTCAGCCTTCCTGCCTTGAGAGCTTTCATACTCAAACTCCTTGCCATCAAGC